TTTTTTTTTTTTTTTTGTAGAAACTGGCGGACTTTTCGATCTGGCTGTAAAATTAATGCAACTGTTTTCCGATTGCAAGGAAAATTATATACCTCTGGCTGGTATCTTAGGACTTTATTTTCAAATTCGTGATGATTATTGTAATCTATATCTACAAGAGGTAAATTTTCAAGGTTTAACAAACTGATCAATGTCGTAATGTATTCTAATAATTTTTATAGTATGCTGAAAATAAAAGCTACTGTGAGGATCTTTCAGAAGGGAAATTTAGTTTTCCCATTATACATGCTATACGGACTCATCCGGAAGATAGACAAATAATGAGTATCCTTGACTTAACAACACTATTTTAAAAATATATTTTTGAATTATTATTATTATTATTATTATTATTATTATTACTATTATCACCACCACCACCACCACCATCATTATTATTGTTGTTGTTATCATTATTATTATTATTATTTATTATTATTATTGTTCCTTAGTCACCCTTAATGAATTATTATTATTCCTTAGCCAGTCTTAATGAAGATATTCTTAGACAACGTACTAAGGACATTGAGGTGAAACGATATTGCGTTAACTTGTTAGAAAAGTTTGGATCCTTTGCTTACACAAGAACTGTACTGGAAGAATTGGACAAAGAAGCAAGAAATGAAGTGCAACGCCTAGGTGGAAATCCTTTATTAGTACGATTGTTAGATGAATTGATGAGCTGGAAAGATTGTGATCCTCAACAGCAGGGTAAAAAAGATAGTCTTTAATCATGTTTTATTATTTTTAATTATATATATTATATATGAAAGAAATGTTATACGCATGTTATATACATATCTAATTTATACGTATATCCTATTTTCCGAAAGTTACAGGTTATTTATTATATAATGTTCATAAGAGAAGAAAATTTTAGAATTACTTCTAATCTTTTCTTTTTTTTTTCTTTTTTTTCATTTCGTAGGTAGCATAAATTTTGAACAATTAAAGTCACTTTAGATACAAATACGAAAACATCAACATTTCGTTCTATGTGAGTGATTTTGTTTGAAATTCAGATGCTCGTTATCATATGGAATTTTTAATACAAAATGCAATGATTAAAATACTTTTCAATAATAAGACTCAATATTGACGATTTCATATCAATATAAATTTGTTCACATTCTTTTAAATATGTAAATATCTCCAACTATACGAACTTGATGTTCATTTTTTAAATTAATTTTGTTATCTTCATTTTATACATTCTTTTTTTAGAAACAGTACAAATGTAGATTACCGGTTTTGTTAAACGTTAAACTTAATAGTTTAGTATTATTATCAATTGCTTTTTTAATATATATTTTATAACAAAAAATCTGTATATTGATTCTGATGAAATAATGTTGATAAGGGATAATCGCGATCATGATGAATATCTCAGGAAGTTTAAGAATGCGTTTATTTACATTGCACGATTAAAAGAAAAATTAAATTAATTTATTCTTCTATATAATTACGAGTATGTCTATTAAATTAAGCGGCTATAACTATGTTATATCTAAAGCAAGGTAATAATAGTAGTAATAATAAATAAAATTAATTTTCTTCCTTGTAAATGAAAGAAAAGTTATTATGTACTAAAGATGTTGCGTGCAAACAACTATGTAGTAATTACGTTTTCGCGAGTTTTTATTATCAACTGCCATATGTGTACAATAATTTAATACGTACATTACATAATATTAAACTTACAATTAGTCTTAATCGCTTGTATGGAAATTTTACTACTGATTTGTACATCGTGGGGGCATATGCTGTACGAATTAATAATGTGATACAACATGTAGTTCCATACAAAATCATTTGTAACGAATAAATATATCTTCATTAAATCTAAGCAACATATATATAATTTATTTACTTCATCACATTTTTTTTCCCACTCACTTTATTGTGCACATTCTCGAATACAACTGATAATTAGTCAAATGTCCGAACATTAACCAGAACAGTATATTATTAGGAGACATTCTCTTCCGCTAATATAATGTTCGGATATTCAGTATTTTTCATTCCGTGTCTTCATTCGATCAAGCAAAAATATAAATGAATAATACTCATTTATGCAATCGTTAACAACTGTAACAATGTCTTGCATTAATAGTACATTGTAAGAAACAATTACGATGCGTTTCCAAAGCTATTTAAATACAAACGCCTCTAACACTAGACTCTATAAACTATTATTCCTACAGTTACATTTTTATAAATTAAACACGACATGCGTAAAACGAAACGTGTCGCTTATCACATACTCTATCAATATGTATTGTATTATCCATCATAAATTTGAGACTAAAGTTTTCGTTATTATGAATTTTAACGTTTGCTTTTTGTTAATAAAATTCTGATGTTTTTCTTTTCATTAAAAATTCTATCTTTATCACCATTTTTTAATATATAAAATTTCGCCGATGGAAACTCTTTTTAAGGAGATTAATTTTTATTTTCAGCAAAAAGAAACAGAACTAATTTCTGGTGCAAGTGAAAGATGTACAATAAACGTTAAAGATTAATTTTATAATTTACAGTCGCGTACAAACGAAGAATCATATCCATACTGTTTCTTTCCTTTTTTTTCCTCATCAATTACAAGTTCTCAAATTTACGATTGCGTTCCATTCCTCAGAACTCGCCTCTCCTCTTTTTTACATCGTTCTTCACAGTCGTCGAATTACGATCGATTACGATTAATGACTCAAAAACATCTATTAGCAAATACAGGAAACAAAACGAACGTCGTCTCTCTCGAGTGACTCGGTTAAATAGCCTCAACACAACATCCGAACGAACCGCTAGCGCTCATCGCGAAAGGAACTCTCAATGATCTAAGGCCGATCCCGCAGAAACCGTTCCCCGTTTCTCCACGTTCTACTCATCGACGACTCGTGGAAAATCCGAGCTACGCAAAAACGAAAAGGATCAACATCCGAGCAGAGTTCAATCTCACGCGGTCTCCCGGTTCTTCCGCCGAAATTTTCCAACAGGATTCGCCACTCGTTTCCTGCTCCGGCGGAGTTCACCTTTGGCCCGCCAACTTCCTCCGAAAACTTCCACTCACTGTTCCCTCTCTGCAACTTTCTGCAAACTTTCCAAACACGCATCTCTCTCTGTATGTGTGTGTGTGTGTGTGTGTGTGTGTGTGTCTTCTCGCCCTGTGTATGCATTACGTTTTCGTGAAGACGCCAGCAACGTCTGTACGACGCGGAGGGGAGAGCCGAGATTTTGGCGTCGTTCGTGGAACGAGAAGAGCAACGGCGTTCCCTGGGTCCGCCATCAACGACTAAGACACCGTCGCTATCTGACACGTCCTTTGTTCCGGTTCACTGTCCTCGTCCGACTCGCTCGCCCACGAGGGTTGACGCTCGTGTCATATTTCCCCGTCGCTGTCGCCCACTCGGCCAGTTGGTCCCGACACGCCATCGTCCAGCACTTCCGTCACCTTGCATCATGCGCTTGCTCTTAGAAAATGTTTCCCTTTTTTGTTTGCCGTGTACCGGACTGAATCGGGATCGCTATGACTAGCGTATATTGGTGCTGGACGGATAAAGCATCGCAGGAGGGACGTTGGATTGTCTGGTTTCT